GTAGGTGTGTCCGTACCCTACATTTTGCAACTTTGCTGTGCGCTGTACCTGTACCAGTACCCATCCCGTTTCCATGCAACTTAGAACCCGAATCAAGTGATCTGCGTAGGTGTGTCCGTACCCTACATTTTGCAACTTTGCTGTGCGCTGTACCTGTACCAGTACCCATCCCGTTTCCATGCAACTTAGAACCCGAATCAAGTGATCTGTTATATATGTCTTATCAGTATAGGTTCATGCATCCATTCACTTGTTGTTCTAGGCTGCATATGGGCGTAAATGGTAGAAATAATGATCAACTGGATAGAAGCAACAATGGCATTAATAGTCCTTACATTGGAACTCCATATGGCATATAAGCGTTGTGGCTATAACGATTCCAGATTGACGGGCAAGAAATAACTTGCAGTGACCATTTTTTATGTTGCTGGAGCTTTATGTGATTGTAGAATTCCCTTCAAGGTGAACAAAGTACTTTATAGCATGACGACTTTATGCCAACCATGCTGTGCAGATCAAAATGTTAAATAGTGAAAGGACATTAATGCCGAAAATGAATATAACAGGAATGAGGATGCTAAGATGGATTTGTGAAAATTTTACAAATAGATAGAAAGTAATGAGTGAACTCACATAATGTTAGAAGTTACTGAAAATATACGTGGATTTGTAGATGGCAATGGAGAATGAATTGACAGAGATAAAGAGTGGAATTACTGGCTTAGGTATGTCAATAGTGATAATGTATCCAAACCTGCATAGGATATCCCCCAACAAGACTAAGATTTCATCTCTTGACTACATAGTCTATTCAATCCTGCATTGGATCCCCCTATTATGGTAGATTTTTCACTATGTGAGTGCTTTTGGTAAAATAACGCCGGAGCTGCAGTAGATCTATGTGTCAAGTTCAACTGCAATGCAATAATTTGAGAAACTGTCATTATCGAACTGGTTAAATAGGCTAAACTATTGCCTTTCTGCATGAGTCCATATATTGTGGTATATGAGAGTGAAATCTATGATGATGTTAGTGAATCAGTAAAGATTTAATATTTCAGATTTTTTAGAGGCTGCTCAAAGAAGTACTTGATCTCTAGGCTACAACTGATGACTTGCTATATTGCAGTTAAGACTAGTTATATCGTAGATGATTACCAAGTATAATTGTGAAGCCCATGACTACCTGCATATTAAACAAAGTACTTTGAATGGTACTTAATTAGTTCTTAACTTCTTATGGTGTGGTTATAGGGCATGTGCTTTCGCCCATTTTGTGTTTATGAGAGTGAGTATAAAATAATGCTTACAGAACTATATTGGTAGTCATTGCTATTCCTTTGGCTTGGCGGATCAGGACAAGTGGCGCTTTAAGGGCCTCTCCAACGGAGACGCTAAACTCCAGGTTGGCGCGGAGCGCGAAAACTTCCGCTAAAATAGCGGGATGCTACATTGTTGCGCCAGGAATGGCGCAACGCTGTACTGTAGCATTGGCGCAACCCATTAATTTTTTTTGCTTTTGTTATTTATATTTGTATTAATAATATATATTATTTTATATTAACTATTGTAATAAAATTAGAGTATAAAATAATTATTAAAATAAAATTCAACAATTGGAAAAAATAGATAATTTAATCCAAACACTTAAAATTTCATAATACTAGAACCAAATGAAGAAATAAGAAAAACTACACCATTTAGATAAAAAAAATACAACATAAACATTAGGACATAAAAAAATTACACATATATTAGGACATTAAAATTAACACTAATTGCAATACATTAAAATTAAAGAAAAATAGAACATTGAACATAAACTAAAACAACATTTCATAATTAATTATATGTAATGTATTATATAATTATATAATTATATAATTTGTTAAATATTTTAAATAGATAAAAATATTAAAAGATAAGAATAATAAAAGGAATATTCTTTTTGGTGTAAAATTTGGTGTAATGGGTTGAAGATGGAATAGTGATTTGGTGTAAAAACTACACCATTTTGGGTTTTTGGGTCGGAGATGCTCTAATATATGCTAATTTTGTTGTTTTCTAAAAAAAAAAAAACTTCAAACCTCCACCACAAATATTTTTTCTGTATATGAAGCCCTGATGATCAGTTCTTGTTTTCAGATTCCAGCTCTGGAGAAGGCTCATAGCTCTTATGGAAATGTCAAGTCAAAACCTCATTCAATTGGATCCATTGTCTCAGGACTTGGTTCCGGGTCCAATTGTTCACGTGCTGAATCTAAACAGGGCTACAGGTTTGTTACATTCTAAGGCTCAGTATTAACATTGTGAACATGTGTGTTATCTAGTCGCTAATTTCCAAGCCAAATCATATATTTGTCTAAATTATAAGATACTTTGGTTCCATCAATTGTCTGGTAGTAAAAGTTAGTGGGTGATAGTTTCTTTTTTTTTTTTAAAGTCACAGGCTGAGGGCTAGAAAGTGACTAGAGAATGGCTCCTCAGGTCTCCCCCGGATACTACTTAATTGTAGATAGACCCCTTGTACTATCACCAAATTGAATTTGCTACCCATGTAGCGCTATTGCTACTGATAGACCCCCTGAAAGAGACCTATTGTTGCATTTTTACCCCTGAGTGAAAATCTATTGTTGCTGATAAATAGGCCCCTTGAAAAGGGTCAAAAAAAATTCACTCAGGGATCTATTTTGCAACAATAGAACTACGAGGGTAGTAAGTTGAATACGGGGATACCGCACGGCGTCGGTTTGCAGTTAACCCTTTTTTTCTGTCTTAAACTGAGAAAAGAATAAATATATGTCCCAAGACTGAAATGTTCGTATTGCTCCAGTACCGTGTTAAACATGATATGTCCTTGTACCGTATTCGTAGTTCGAACTTATGATAGAAGCCAAACCCGTACCCCACGTGTATTTTATTTCAGGTATATACCGTCAAAATTAAAAAGTATTCGTGATTCTTTTCTGACGGGTTCAAACCAATTGGACGCGGTGGGCACATCAACGGGGACCGAGTATGCTCGTCTTCTCTCTACTTCGTTTGTATTATTTGGCCACTCACAGACCACTGAACATGCAAGCCCATCCCCTACGTCTCCATCACTATTGTTGACACCGCAGAATAGTACACAAATTTGGCAGGCTATCTCTGAAGAGCATTATTGGATCCATAACTATATGTTTCTTGTTCATGTGTCCATGCCGGCAACTGCCTTCACTCTTACACACACAAACATTTTATGGCTGCGGGCACGGCATGCAAAGTTTTCTGTCTGTTTCTACTTTGAATATTCTCTTTGCTCATTATATGCTCATCTTTGAGTTAAAAGACTTGTGTATGAAGCTATGCTCATCAGGATCTTAATCTCTGTTCTCCTTGTGAGTCTACTGGCTGTAGTAGTTCCTTCGACCAGTGATGGAAGTTTTCTGTACCATGGATTCCATGGTTCAGGGCTTCGCCTCGACGGTAACTCTGTGATCGAACAAAATGGCATCTTGAGGCTCACAAATCTGACGAAGGAGGCAATTGGGCATGCGTTTTTCCCTATTCCGTTCAGTTTTATCAATTCCTCGAGCGGTAATCCTCTATCTTTCTCCACGTCCTTTGTGTTTGCTATTGTGCCGCAGTACCAAGATGTTAGTGCTCATGGTCTAGCTTTCGTGATCTCTCCTTCGAAGGAGATCGTTGGAGCTGGCCCTAGCCAGTATCTAGGCCTGTTCAATCTGACGAGCAATGGCAATTCGTCCAACCACATTGTTGCAGTTGAGCTTGACACTGTACAAACCTTTGATTACAATGACATCAACGATAACCATGTCGGTATTGATATCAACAGTCTGCATTCGATTGACTCTGCTCCTGTATCTTTTGTCTCCGATTCTGATGGCGGGTTGAGGAATCTAAGCCTAATAAGTGGTGAGCCTATGAAGCTGTGGGTAGATTATGACGGTGAAGCGATGAGACTCGATGTGACTTTATCACCTATAGATGTTAGTAAGCCTCGTTCTCCTCTCTTGTCATCTACAGCTAATCTTTCTTCGGTCTTGCTCGATAAAATGTACGTGGGTTTCTCTGCCTCCACCGGTGCAGCTGCTGGAAGCCACTACGTTTTAGGATGGAGTTTCAGCTTGAACGGAAAAGCTCAAGAGCTTGATGTCTCAAAGCTTCCATCTTTGCCTAATACTGATGAAGTGATTGAAAAAGAGCCTCGTATTTTGACTACTGTATTGCCCATTGCCGCTTCAGTGGTGTTGGCAGTGATTATTGTATACATCCTGATTGTGTTATTTAAGAAGAAGAAATTTTCAGAGCAGCAAGAAGATTGGGAGGTTGAGTATGGACCTCATCGATTCTGCTACAAAGATCTACACAAAGCCACCAAAGGCTTCAGAGATGAGAATCTCCTCGGAGCTGGAGGTTTCGGTGGTGTCTTCAAAGGGGTTCTACCAAAATCCAACGTTGAAGTTGCAGTGAAGAGGATATCTGAGGGATCGAGGCAAGGCATGAAAGAATTTGTAGCAGAAATCGCGAGCATGGGCCGTGTCAGACATCGAAACTTAGTCCAACTGCTCGGTTACGGCAGGCATCACAGCGAGCTGCTATTAGTCTACGACTTCATGCCCAATGGAAGCCTCGACAAATACCTCTTTAATCGTCCAGAGGTAATGCTCAACTGGAACCAGCGGTTCACGATAATCAAAGGCATCGCCGCAGGACTACGCTACCTGCACGAAGAATGGGAGCAAGTGATCCTTCACAGAGACATCAAAGCGAGCAATGTGCTTCTTGACCGAGAATTCAATGGGAAATTGGGGGATTTTGGGCTCGCCAGGCTCCACAACCACGGGTCAAATCCTGAAACAACGCACATAGTTGGTACACTGGGGTATCTTGCGCCTGAACTCGCAAGAACTGGGAAAGCAACGACAAACTCTGATGTGTATGCTTTCGGTGCATTTTTACTGGAAGTTGCATGTGGAAGGAGACCAGTTGAGCTTAAAACGTCAGGGCTTGAGTTGATTCTCGTTGATTGGGTTCTCGATCTCTTGAAGAAAAGGTCGATCATCGAGGCTAGAGATCGAAGATTGGGCGATGAGTTTGTAACCGAAGAGGTTGAGCTTGTGTTGAAGCTTGGGCTTGTTTGTTCACATCCAATGCCGACGGCTAGGCCGGGTATGAGGCAAATTGTGCAGTTTTTGGAGCGGGAAGCGGAGTTACCGGAGTTGTCGGAAGATGACTTTCAGTTGTTTGATTCAATTGCAAGGAAAATCAATGCAAGTGATGAGTGTACAGGTTCATCGATGTGCAGCCTTTCTGTATCGGATACTATTTTCTCTGGGGAAGGGAGATGATTGTGTGGGAGTAAGTAGATTTTTTTTTTTTTTTTTGAGGTAGTCGTTTTTATTTCTGTAGATAGATGTTTTTTTAACTTCATTTTTAGTGGCATTTATTTATATTAAAATTGTAGTGGATGTGTTTGGATGTTATTGTTGGCAAAGTGTTGTGTTTTCAATATTGTGGTAGATTCTTGATTATGGTCGTTGAAGTGACAATATCTTGTTTACATAGCTTGTTTTCTCATGACAGAATAGTTAAGTTACATAGCTTGTTTTCTCATGACAGAATAGTTAAGCGTATCCCCTTTTTTAATTTTTTTTTTTTTTTAATTTACTTCATATAGCCTCAAGTACCAGATTTACTAAGAGCAAGTGGCTCTCACCCCAGCTCCCAACGCTGAGATGATAGTGGGAGTCTGCTGCAAACGCCTCAGCAAACTCCTAAGAGGCCACTTTAGGCTGATGTGGACATCATGTAGGAGGTGGGGCCCAGTTGAGCTCTCAAGCGCTCCATAAATTTTACACAAAAACCCAATTTTATACAAAAACCCATGTGATGTGGCATTGAGAGCTCTTGAGAGCTCTCCAACAAGCACTCCTAACTAGGAATTTGCTGCACTTGCTCTAACTACATCAAGCACTGTTTGGTGCCTTCCCTCTTTCCCATTTCACTTGCAGCCCATCAAGTGGAGGCCTGAGTTTTTGGGTAGATTGGGCCTTTGCGGTGACAATCATACTATTACTCAAAGAAAGTAAAATAGTTATTCAGAATAAAAATGAAAAGTAAGACGTATGGTTAGAAATGCGGTGACAATTATATTTCTGTGGAACCTAAAATAGCGGAAGGAAATGTTGTTAATAATACAGCATGAATTCTTTTTACATGTAATAAACCTACATTTTAATCCTTCGTAACAGGCTATAACATGCTTTATTTTTATTATTATTAAATAACATACTCTTAAATTAAACCGGACAATATTATAGCTATTTCTTTATTTTGAGCACTCGTTTATGCGCACGACTATGCCTTGTATTTATACAGATTGAGATGACATTCTTTTTTAATAACCCAGTTTGTAATCGAACCCAAAACCGAGGGAGCCATATCGGACCCTCCCAACTTTCTGGGTCAACACCAGCGGGTGATGGACATGACATCTATTAGAAGTATTTTAACAACTTTAGTACAAACAATTGATATTTTTAATAATCCTTTTCGAATAAACATTATCACGAAGATAACTCACCAAAAAATAAGTTATTCTTCACTAATAGCATTTTATAACTAGAACTCTTTCATGGGACTTATTGAAACATTCTCTGACAATTCTCTTAACTTCTTATTAAAAATATATTCCAATGTTTAATTCCATAAAAATATTAATTTATCGATGAAAAAGTATGGGATGAAAATATTTAGGATTACTCCACAAAAAATGATTTTTGGAGGGACTGACTCATAAGATGCCAACAACCTCTGACCGGTTCGGAGTCTTTCAGAACCCGAACCCGCTACCGACTCGGTCTGAGCCGAGCACTGATCCTCCTCCTACAATTCTATTTTCTTTTTCAAATGTTTTTCCTTTTTCTTCCCCCCTCAATCATTTACGAGCTGAGGCTAGGGTTTCAGAGAGGTTAGAGTTTGCCTCGGATCTCGATTAGATTCGATCAAAAAATGCCAGTTAGAGTGGTCGAGGGCTCAGCGCCCTCTCAAGTTTCAGGTAAAAACCCTATTTTAATCCTAATTTGGTGCATTTCTTCATATTTCCTCTGCTTTTTTAAACTTCTTTATAAAGTTTTAGATTGTTAGATCTGCGTGAATGAAACCCAAGATTTGCTAGGTTTATTTGTCTCTTTTGAGCTCTAGTCTGTGCAGTTTTTTTTTATTTTTAATTTTCTGATTTTCAAAGTTTTAAATCAATTATCGTATCTGTAAATGTTTGTTTGATATAGAAATGGAGGTTCTTGTGCTTGTGGTTCATTGAAGGCGTCGTATTGTGATAGTTTGTGAATGAAATTAGTGCACATGCGATAGTATAAATCGTGGTTGGGGGGTTTATACATATCATCACTCATTGCTACTTCAAAGTTCAAGAACTCCCTTGAATTTAAAGTTTATTTGTAGGAAAAACATATAACGAGGTATTAGGATTGTTGGTCCTGATCAAGAGGCTCTTTTTTGTGTATAAACCCTTTGGCCAAATCAAAGGACACATTAACAATTCTCTTTTCCCTTTTTACAGTTGAAAAGACTGCTCTAAGTGAAGTACTGTTTAATTTTCTGTCATTTGCTGTAAAAAATAAATGGAATTTCCAGCGAAGGGATTTGGTGGTCGGAGAGGGGTCCTTATCTTCACAGTTTGAATGGTCTTAGAACATCCATTTCACTGGTTCATGCAGAAATTAATGGAATTTATCAAATATTTAGTACCATTTGTGGGTTATATTGAACTTCTAATACAAAAAGACATTCAAGGGTGTGGTTAGAATTTCTACTTCATTGTTTTTTGCCTTTCTTCAAATTCTTCAAATGTAAGGTAAAACTTTCGGTCTGGGGCTAAATTTTGGTTAAAGTAATGCAACCAAGGGATAGGATCTCGATTCTAGATAAGAGGCCTTGACTTGGGATTCTTTTGTCCAAGACTTCCCTGTTTAGGTAGATAAATGAAGGAAAATTGAGGTTGAATCCTCTAAATGCTTCTTCTTTGCAAAATAATTTGGGCTTTTAGAATGATAGCGCTGTAAAACATGTGAGATGATAATCTACAAGGGCTGCCACAACATATTAATCTATATGTCACTTGGTTGTGAGGTACCAAGGTTGAATAATTACCAATTTAGCGTACTTTTATAGGTGTTTAGAATCTCCGGATTCTTCTGGGATATTTCAGATTGTGGAGTAATCTGCTAACGTGGATATTAAACTGACAAGGAATCTTTTGCTCTCGAATTTCCATAGCCTAACATGCGTAGCTATGGTTGCTGTCTTGAAATTTTCTTACATGCTTCTGTAATGGCCATATTTGTGAATAGGTATCATGTAATAAATGGTTGATAATTTTGGTTTTATTAGGCAGTGAACGATTCATGGAGGGCCATGTTGCGGAACTTTACCTTTTTGCAGTTAGCATAATATATTCCTCACTTTCTTCCTCCAACATTAGCATCTAAGGAGAAACATAGATTATGGGGTTTCTCAGGAATTTAAGAGTTCTTTCTGGTGTTTTCTTACTTTAGCACTCAGCATATGTACCGATTACTCAGGGTTTAGTACAAATCCTTCTTTTCCTCTTTTGCTGTTTAGTCAGGTTACATGGCCTGTAGACCTATTAAAGTTACTTAGTTACAGTGCAATACACTTGTCTCCATATAGCAATGCAACACATTCAACTGTATATTGTTTCCTTGTTAGCTAGATCAGTGCTACTGCTCATTGCTAATACTGCTATTGCTGTTACTACTACTATTTGGTTTCTGTCACATTTAAAGCTTACCAGTACAATATGTAAAAAAACAAATATTCTCAGGGCAAGATGCAACTTCAGGACATGCTCTACCTTCTCCTTGTACGCTTTTAAGCGTTGGACGGGTTAGTTCTTTCATTTTCTTCCCATAAATTAATTTCTTTTGTTCCTTATGAGATTTATTGTGCAATGGATATGATGATTTAGATAGCTTGGTGATTTGATCCCCCCACCTCCAAAAAAAACCATCTCTTTGCAAACTAGAATTTATGCTACTGATAATGTAGGTTGTGGATAATTTATTATGTCAGTACCAAATTCTTAAATCGACAGATCATTAATGCAAGGTATACAAGTCCAACATTTCCCCTAATCAAATAGAATTTAGCTTACATGTAATTTTTGTTTGTGCTTCATTGTTAATTTTGCATATTATTGTGGGGGGTGTTCATCATGTTAAAGATTTTATACTCAAAACTGTTACCTGCAAAGATAACAGGTATTTATTGTGAAGGTGAGCTTCGAGAATAAAAATACTAGAACCTGGATATGAATTGGTAGTATATGATATGTTCATCACCGTTTTTATTACCAAAGGAGCCATAGTTTAAGTACTCTAAGTCTGATTAAGGCCCTTAAACTTTGAAATTTTATGAAACTTCACTAGCTAGCTTGATCCGACAGGCCTTTGCTGGAACTCAGAATGTTTCAAGTTTGCAAAAGGATGAGGCCTGGAGGGTGAATGTCAGGATCCAAGGATGTGACCTTGATCATGGTTATTTATGTGGTACCATGGAGGCGCTCAATGTTCCTCTAGCAGACACACCAGTAAGTGGTTTCTTTCTCCTAACTCTCCTAAGCTTTATGTCTGCTCCATTTTTATACTCAAATCTAAGTTATGTATATTTGCATTTCTATTTTCACAATTTTTTATGAGTTGAATTTAATTCTTTTCATGTCATGTAGAATGAGAAATGTCATTGAAGATTAGTAGTTTCTATCCAGTGATCGGGTTTGTATTTTTGGCAAATTAGGTAGTTACATTTTGGGAGGGAGAGATAGTTGATACCAAGAACTACACTTTTTACACTGGCAAGTGGGAAGCAACGTATGTCTCGTTCGTTTTCTAGTTTGTTTGTGCATGGAAACAATATGACTTGAGGTATCAATATATTTCAGTAAACCTTGTTCATGTTGGAAAAACTATTTTTTCCCCTATTTTCTGCAGGCCAGAGGATGATATAAGGCATTGGTCCAAATTCCCATCTTTCTCCCCGCTTCTGGTAAACAGAGAAATCATTGGTTTTAATTGTTCCCCGTATTGTTCAAAATTGAAGTTTTCGCCCTTCTTTGTTTTGCTCCAGAGTCAAGTGGAAGCTGATGGTGGTAAATCTTTGGATCTGAGTAACTACCCATACATATTTATGGTATCATGACATTACATCTCATCTGAACATCTTTTATTTTTGAGAGTGCCTAAGCTAGATGATGATGGTGCAATCTTTTCTGTTGCAGAGGTGGAAGGAGCAGTACTTTGTCAATGTTGGTATTGATTGTGGATTGACTATTGCGGGCTTCTATTATGTTTGCTTCTCTTTTAGTGATGGCTCCATCAACGGCTTCTACTATGACCCAAACAGCAGGTAAACTGCCTCTCCAAATATTGTGTTTCTTTGTTCGTATATATCTTAGTTCTCTGTGTTATAGGTAAGGGAGTTTAAACTAAAGGGAGATGCATATTGCTTTGCTTAAACCTAAATACTGATCAAGTTTCTCACTGAAACACTGCAGTCCTTTTCAGAAGCTTGAATTGAAGTCCACTAATGAGGGGCAGTCAGGTTTCTCATTTTCCTCGTATCAGTTGCAATGAACTGTGGCTTTCTCTGCAAAATTTAAAGCTAAGAGAGGAATCAAGTGATTGGAAGAGGAATCAAACGGTGTCGGTAGAAATTTACTATTTATGGTATTTCCTTTCTGCTAAGGAATGAGCTTTCAGAGCTACATTTATTGTGCCAGGGCGTGAAATTGTAAAGATATGCATTATTCTAATATATGGACCTTCCGGGTATTTGGTCCATTTTAAACCATGAACTTTTTCGAATTGTCATTTTAAGTAGTTAGTATGAGTTCTGGAATTAGTTGCTGCGGATGACTAATGTACTAGCAGGTTGTTTGTTATCAAATTTGTCAATGTGGTGATGCTAACCACGTATAATATAACATTTTATGCTCCTTGACCGCCGTTTATACAGGGGTAATGGAATTCCTATATATCCAGAGTAGGGGAAGCCATGTTGCTTGAGCGTTGCGTTAGCTGGTTCTTCTTTTTCGATTCACTCTCGATTGAAACGATCTGACGCGTGCATGGTATTCATCCATCTCAATGTTTTTTTCTTCTTCTTTTTAAGATCTAAAGATGACAGATTTTGGTGGTTTTTCAACAGGGTTAACTCTGTTGGAATGTAATTCTCCAATTGATTCCTCTCTCCTCTCCACCAGAGAAGCTGAAGGTCCATTAGAGCCCATCCAATGAAAACTCAACCCCAAATCTAGTTCCAATCAAGAGAGAAGCACACGAGTGAGGTGCTGTGGTTGAGAATTGATGATATTATGGGATTCAGTACAAACTGGCAGTGTTTCCAGTTGTTGCTGTGGTTGAGAATTGATGATATTATGGGATTCAGTACAAACTGGCAGTGTTTCTAGTTGTTGCTGCTGGAGGAAGGAAAATTATTTGGTTCACGTGTGTAGTAGTAGAGAAACCATGTTTTACTGCGTGAATGGTCCCAGCTACCTGTTGCTTTCTGCTCCATTGTGATTTCGATATTACCTATAATAACAGCATATTTAATTTTGGACGTGGCCTTAACCATCTCCAGATTTAAAAATAATAATAATAATAATTTCCCCCTTCTTCTTCATCCTCTGATACCCAGAAGTTTTCGAGTTCAGCCGACTTTTGTTGAATGTTGAAAATGTCATAAATTCTAGTATGCTCGTACAGAATTATGCATATTGCTCTTTGCCCATGGAATTATCCCATATATCTCTTCTGGTAAAAATTTGTAGGATTTTTCTATGTTCATGTCAGTTCTGTCCTTACTGCGTGGAATTAAATTATATTGGTATGATTTGATTATATTTTAAAAATATTAATCAACTTCACGGAAAATAGAGAAATACACCCAGTATATCCTCTGAAGGGGATTGAGTGATAACTTTAAAAGTTTTTTCTATAATTTGGAGATAAACAAAAAAAAACCCCGTAGATTTAAGGGGATTATAGATATGTTGGCCTTCATGACATACAATTATAGTTTTCTCAAAGTCTCTTGTTAATATTTGATGTAATGATTAACATCAAGCTTGAACCAGCGGCCTAGGTGACGGTTCTTACTATATATCGCATTAGTTCTCTTCTTAGTCTAGTTACGGGACGCGAAAATAATACTTCCCAAACACATAACTGCATGATAACTGTGATATTGGCATCCACCGCAGGTGATCCAGACGATTGATAGGTTTCAATATGACTTTCGCAACCTTAATTAACTCCCACGGTCTTGAGTTTGATTCCAGTTTGGGTTATCAAAAAAAAAAAAATTGTGATGTTGGGGCATTTTAACTTCACAAATCGTGATAAAATTTTTAATTTTTAACGCACCTGCTAGCTGACTACTGCATTAGCACCGTGTTGTGCTCTATAAATGAGAAAGTGAGCCGAGCACGGGGCCCATCAATCCTCGTGCCCAGGTCACGCCACTGGTTAAAGCATCACTCTCCAAAGCCCACTCACAAAAATAAATAATAATAATAATAAAACACAAAAAGGAAACAAATTTCGCGCGCATTTACCCCTCTTCATGAGAACAACCCCCTCCGTTTTTAAAGCACCCCACCTTCTCCATTACCTACATGATCTTTTATATATCTACACATTTACCTTATAATTTAAGTTGGTTATTTTCCAAATAACTCCACGTTAGAGAGAGAGATTGTGTGAGAGTGTATAAATGATAAGGGAGAGGGGGTTGAAAACCGTTAGAACCAAAAACAAGAATATCACTGACCCCATATGTCCCTCTTTCTCTCTCTACCAACAGCAAAGCATCTATAAAATCTCGTACCATTGATCTTTTTCATGTCAGACCTGCTTCATTCTCTCCTATCTCTTTAAGTCCTCACTCGAGAGAGAGAGAGAGAGAGAGAGAGAGAGAGAGAGAGAAATATAGAAAACCATGGGGAGCAACGACCTTCTTCTGTTATGTGATGAGAGGCTGTTCCTCTCGACTCCCTCGCCTTCGCCAGGTTCAATCTGTCACTGCAACAAGAATAATATTTCTTCGCCTGCTTACGATAGTTACGCGAGCGACGAAGAGAACGACCATCTTCTTCGGAATTACCTTCGTAGAGAGAGAATTTTTATGTCTGCGAATGGTTATTTGGAGCAGCTTCGTGTTTCTTCGGAGCTACGTGATGCTAGGTTCAGAGCTGTTCGTTGGATACTCATGGTGATTCATTATTCATCGCATTCCCCTTGATTCTTTTGATTTGGTATTGTTATGTTCATTGAATATTCTGATTAATTATTTTTTGGAAAAATACAGGCTCGTCGTCGACTTAGTCTACAATGTGGGACAATATTTGCTGCGGTCAATTATCTAGATCGATTCCTGTCTCTCAACTGCCATATTGTGAGCATCTCTGAATCTAAATCAAACTTTAATTAGTTAAAATTTTAAACTAAAAATCCACTTTCTGATTTTATTACCAGAAGAAATGGGAGATTTGGATGATAGAGCTGTCATCGATCGCATGTCTATCAATTGCATCGAAGGTTGATGAAGTCTTCATTCATTCTTTAGATGATTTCCAGGTTGGTAGTATATATCTCTAGAACTTCGTGTCAATTTCATATGATATTGTTGTCTAATTAATTGAATTCATGCTGTTTTAAGTCCTAACAGACAGAGCTTTTATATAGACAGATGATCTTGAGCACACATACCAATCTAGTACGATTGTGCGCATGGAGTTAACAATCCTCAAAGCTCTAGACTGGCGACTCATCTGCGTAACTCCTTACTCGTACATCGACCTCTTCACCTCTTGCCTCCCCTCTCATGATTCCTTGCACACTCGCACCGTTGAAATCTTATATCGAGCTCTATTAGGTAATAGAAAACTCAAATCGATGGACTTATAGCTGCTGTTGGGTCGATCTTTGAACCGAATTTTTCACTCTGGATTCTTTTTTTCCCGCAGAGATCAAGTTTGTAGAGTGTAATGCTAGTGTAATCGCTGTTTCTGCGCTGAGATGTTGCATCGAGGAACTCTTTCCGCTTGAATTTGATGCCTACGTCTCAACTCTTGGTCATCTAATGCCTGTAGAGTACAAGGTAAGACCAGAAAGTCTATAAATTTGTTACTTATTATGGAAATTTGATAATTGTAATAAAAAATTTGGATCCTTTCCATTGTTTGGTTGACCTTTAAGAAACCACTTTGTAAATCGTAACCGCTCATTTATCTAGGACGGTTATGACTCATACTAAGCATATCAAAACTATTCAGTAAAAAATAAGCAGTTACGGATTTTTACTCTATTTGTTGTTCGTAATGGAATTATCTAATTTCTGTTATCTGCAATTGTACTGTCAGAGGATATCATGCAACATACATATTATACCGCTAACACAGAGATAGCCCTATTTTTAACACCCTTATCAAAAAAAATTGACTTACGTATAATGATGATGAGCTAGGCGAAGATCGACAAGTGCTATCGATTCATGGAGGAGAAGATCGCTAATCCTCACTCATGTCCTACAAGTCCAGTTACCGTCATTCCGCTGCAGAGAACCAAGGTTTTAGATAGCTGCGTGGATATCGATATGCGCTTCTGCAATAAGAACCCTAGCCAAGATTTCAATCAGAACAAGCGAAAATATGAAAGTTTGACGAGCTGCTCCTCCAACTGAGTCTAAGCGTGTGTACATGATCCTTTGTTCAGCTTTACTTACAGGTTATGATTATCGATTACTAGTGTTCAGATAGATGCAACACTAAATTGTAACCATATTTGAATTCAGAATTATGTAAGTTGAGATGCACTGAATAAAATGGTTTTTCTTTGGAGAAATAGAAAGCCTGCTTCTGTCAAAGTATTGGTTAGTACCTACATATTAGTGCTGATATATTTTCAAACAAAAGAGTATAATACCTGCAGATCTCACTGAAACAATGAATGTTTTGAAAAGCCTAGATTTTTGACAGCGCAAGGAGCTACCTAGCATACACATCGACTCAGCTCTTAGATCTGCTACACGTTAATCTCACTGACGACATCTCACCGAAACAGCAACCACTTTTAAGAAAATATCTGCAAAAATTCTCTGTTCGCATCGCATGCGCTCTGAACTTACCTAACGTAAAAACATTTGCCAGCTACAATAAAAGAAACAAGGTAGCTCACACCACAGCACCTCAAACATTTTCTCAAGGTTGGATCAACATCATTTTGGAATCGGATTGTCCCGATCATGTGCTCCTTGCACGGGGCCATTACTCAGCCACAGTCCCTCGTGGTAATCTTTGACGAATGTTGGGCCCTTTTCAAGAAATTCAAACTACTCCTATGTTACCCATGTTCATCTTTTCAAGAAATTCAAACTACTCCTATGTTACCCATGTTCATCGCTCAGGCAATATTTGTGCACACAAACTAGCTCATTTTGCTTGCAGATATAGACGTACGACCTTCTCAGATGCTCGAGATGGTCTGACTATATCTGTATTCAAATTCTTCTTGATGCTATGTGATAGAATCTTTGATTCCTCGAAAAAAAAAAGCTCACATCAAAATAACAACTTTTTGATACTTCCCACAGATCATGGTAAACCTATATAGTAAATGAGATAACATGTTCCATCTTTATATTACCGAAGAGAAAATATTCATAAAAGCATCTTACTACATAACTTCACAGTCAATATGAAATCACAAAATATACTGATAAGTCACTTGGTCCCTAATAAGCAAAATAGGTAAGCAAAATGACACTTCCAGCAGGTCCACTTCTGAATGAAATTGAACCAAGCCCTCAAACAGCAGGAAAGCAAAACTAGAAAAGAGATGTTCCCTTCCCCTTCTTGTCTCCGCCAATCTCAAAATGTTTGCACCTCTGCAAGAATAACTTCTGCATTAGAAATTATCGGAAAAAATAACCGTGACAATCTAAAAGAAGAAAGAGTAAATAAAACATGACTACCTTTATTGCGTGCTGAGAGAAATGTTTGCAGCTCTGACATTGCAGCTTCAGCACAATCTTCTTGGTAGTTTTGGCCTGAAATGGAAAATTCACAGTACACGGAATTCAGTTGATGTACAGTGTATAATACTACAAGAAACTTTGGTTAAGGATATTTTATAAGAAAATACTTTTTTGTGGAAAACAGGCTTGGTTTGTCCACCATAACCAGATTGTTTCCTGTCATAACGGCGCTTTCCTTGTGCAGAAATACTGTCTTTGCCCTTCTTGTACTGGGTAACCTTGTGAAGGGTGTGTTTCTTGCAGGCCTTGTTCTTGCAGTAGGTCTTCTTTGTTTTCGGAACGTTCACCTACATAAAGAATAGCATCTAATTATTATAATACTCAATCGGGAAAGAACCAAAGAAACGAATTCTTCTCTATGCATTAAGCTTTTTCATATATAAACTAAATTATCGCTCAATGCATGTTCCCAACAAAATATAAAGGAAGAGCATAAAACTGAATTACAGCTTGTTGTATATGCCAAAATGATGAGCAGCACATTTGATGAAATACCAAATGAACGAGTAGTCACTTTAAAAATATATACTGACATAAAAACATATATCAAACCACTAATAGGCAGTTTTCCAGAAGAATCTTAAGTCAAAAAAAAACTCACGTATATGGCTTCATGAGAGAAACATTACCAAAAGCAGGAAATCCTTGAGGACATTTGCCACCAAGAAAACATCAAGTCCAGGAAAGCAACCGTACGAGGTTTATAAAACAGAATGTGAAAGAGAGGAATACTTGAATTCACAATTCAAATATTGAAACCTTCAAATTTCACTACGTGAGATTCTTATATGTTCCTTTCTTCAAAAATGATGTCAAAAAGGATCATTTTCCAATAAATTCAGAATAAACAAAATCGAAATGATCTTACAGGGACATCCAAAAACAAAGCAGTAAATGCTAGCTAGTATATAAAACGCGCATGACAGATAAAATGCAGGGCTCATAAATTATTGATCAGTGATTAGGACAACGTGAAGAAAGCTTTGTAGTGTAAAGAAAACCTACATACACACGCTTCCGCATTACGGTGTTACAAAATTTAACAGTTATCAACAGCTAGGTAATACTCATATTCTGACAAATTAATTTCCTCATTCCACTGATATGATTGTAGATATGATCCAAGACTAAGGCATATCCTAAAGAGTGAACATACCTATTCACATTCACGAATGCATAATTTTTATGACTTTAATCGCCATAATTTGAATCCATATACATTAACGAAATCAAGTAACCATAAAAATTGCTAAAACCTTTACTCCCTTTATAATAAGAAGAAATTTGCAAAATAGACCTATTTTGCTTTTTGCTAAATATTTAGCAAAATAGTCCTCTTTTTGGCCTGAGGTCGATTTTGCAAAACAGACCATTCGAAACATACAGGACTAGTAGTCCCGAATGATTTAATGGGGGATTAAATCATACGGGACTACTAGTCCCGTATGTTTCGAATGGTCTGTTTAGCAAAAGCCAAAAAGAGGTCTATTTTGCAAATTTTTCCTTATAATAATAATTACTTGTAACAAAATTGCCTAAAGTAATATCAAGCTATACAACCACATAATACTTGCTCAATACGTGCTGCTCGTTGAAATCATCAGACCCTAAACCAACTAAAGCTAGCATATGAAGATTCCGAACAAACTCATAATCCGCATAATAAACGCTGAGCTAATACGAGCCAAGTCGAAATTTCATCAGGGTAGTATTGCAACTTAAATCATGTAAATAAAGTAGATACCACTTATATCGAAGATTGAAAAGGGAGGGGAAAAAAAGGGATGATAAATAATCTACAAACGAAGAATTAGGACAGATCTAAATAAAGAGTTAAAGATAAACACAAATATATTCATTCTAGAAATCTGATCCGATTTAAATAATTTCCTCATATGATTGCCAAATAAAAATAAAAATAAAAAACGAGAGAAGTAAATGATGCTCACCATGGTCGAGGGATTGGAGAAAGGAGCCGCTGCTTCTCTCCCTCGCCACCGAAAGACAAAGATCACACGATAGCTCAAAGATTCGATTTTTTTTTTTTTCAGGTCTAGGGCTTTATGCAAAATCCCAACTCTACCCATCATATTGGATCGCATGTCCATGTGAGCCCAATTGTAAGCAGCCCATAGTAAGTGGGCCCTCAAGGTCCGCCAACTCACGTGACTACGCTTGAATTTTTACTTAGAGGGCTGTTTGGTTGTTTCCCGGAAAAAAAAATCGGAAATATAAAACTCGCATTTTAACTTATTTCAAGAGATTTCAAGACATTTCGCACATTTCTTTTTTTGGTTTGTTTCCTAATGAAATCAACGTCACCGTCACATCACATAAGAAATAAATCTAGCCGCAATAGTAACAGTGTTTCGATTTCTAATTCTTGTGTTTGTTTGAACATAAAAAAAGAAATGGAAATCAGCCGCAATAGTAACAGTATTTTTAGCAATTAAATAATGTGTTTTATTCACAATCATTATTTCAACTGTGTTTTTGGTAATTAAAAATTTATTAAAGTGACATTTCCAAGTGTTTTCAGAGGTTTTTGGTATGAAAATATTTTTCTCAAAAATCTGACGTGACACCCTTATTTCTTTAAATCACAAAACGAAACAAACATATGATTTGGATATCGGTTGAAACCAAAATTCTACGTGGCAGGGGGGATTTCTTGAAATCTGACATGGCGGGTGGATTTTCTCTTTTTTTTTAGCAAACAAACAGCCCCTAAATTGATACTTGTAAATGTACTGAATATATTGAGATTCTATGCTTATTCTACTGATTTAGATTTCAACAAAATCAGTTGTTAAACGGAATATTAGTTGTGAGAAATGAACATAAGCAATATTTTTTTTTTAATTTTATGATATACGCCATGTTTGGAGCTTTCCTCTCAAAATAATGCAGGCCTCACATATGAAAAATATCACCATGTCCGAGCCTATAAATAATATGACTAAGATATTTAAACATTATAAGAAACTAATATACTTCCATTATATTTCACTTAAATTTGAGAGATCGTAGTACAACATATATATTAATGCCTATAGTTGATGAGACATTTTCGAGTAACATTTTGGCGTGTAGAATAATAACAAAGCAACTTTCAAAAAAATCATCATGAAACTCTGTCAAAAGTCATTTGCCTGCAATGTCTTGATTAATCAGCCGATAAGTTTCACATTATAAGGAATCAAGAATTGTACAATTAGATTAGTTGCTCCCCAACTTTTGGGCTAAGTGCTGTATTTGGCAACTCCACAGAATTTGTTTCAGGTGGTACAATCTCGATTCGAAATCTTATTTTTCATTTGGCAAAAATCGATCATAAATTAAACTAGTGTTTTCTAGTTCAAAATATAGCCCGATTAAGGGGCCAAAAAAAAAAGAAATCAAACTAAACCCAGCTCTATTTGAAGTTGTTTGGAATATTTTGATTCATTACTTTGGTTTTCCTAGGGAATCAAGTACAGCAAGAAAAAAAACATGTAACAATCTGAGTACCTAAACGTTTTGCTATATTTGCATTGTTATTCAGAAAACAAACTGCCAGAATACGCATTTAAAAAAGTTTTTTAAATGCAATTAAGCCAATATATTATATAAACAAGCTTTACACGATCACAAAGGGTTTTGTTCAGGCACACGAAGCAACGGGCAACAGTTTATATGCACACCGGGTTGCATCCAAATCATCATGAATCCCAAGAGCAATTTCAGAATACATCACGTAATACAATTCCAAATGAAATTCTGTTGCTTGCAAAATCAAACTCACACAAGAAGAGTGGCCGCGAGAGGCAATTTAGCCTTCCAATTTACAGATATTTGAGGAGAGCCCAAACAACAGCAGCCAATATCACAATAACCACCACCAAAATTAGAAGACATCCACACGAGCAACCTGCCTTTGTTCGTTTGTTCAGAATAGCAAGTCTCTTCAGCACGCGCTGCATCAGGATGTAGTAGACGATTAACAACCTTTGTTAAAATCATTTTAGGTTCATAATTTTCTGAAAAGAGAGCTAAAATTTTTCCTTGTTCATAAACTTTCAACCAGGTGAAGTTTGTCAAAACAAGTTATAAGAAATGGTTTAATTGCATATACACCCTCTGTAATATGGCAATGCAGCCACTTATACCTCCTAAATTATTTTATGAGCACTGACACCCTGAATCTCAAACAATGTTACTTTTTCGCCCTTAATATAGACGGCAATTTGGTCTTTTTCCAGTTAAATTAAAGGCAAGAGGTAATTTATAGCCATGCGATTCCCACGTGGTATGACATCTCCAACCCAACGGGAGAAACAATGTGGTCCAGAGCTCAGGGGATGAATGTACTAGTAAAATAGTCCGGGGCTATAAATGATACGCCCTCATGCGTACAGCGAGTGTACGTGCAATTAACCCATGAAAATTTAGTAACTCTTTTTTATAGACAAGTATCATTGAGAATTCAGTGTAGGCTTCAATTACTGGCATATCTTTTCATATATTCAGAGCTTTAGTTCGTAAAAATGGAACTACTCTCATTCAGTGGAACTTTAAGGTACAAAATATGGACATTAAGTTAGCAAATAAGAAAACGAACCAACCTGAAGCCTCGAGTCTGTGACATCCACATGTTGGTCCAAATTATCCTGCATAGTAAATAAAACAAACAAGGATCAGCACCAGTTGAAACTGCGAAAGGAAATTAAGAATACACACTGTAAGATGATCAAATCCTCTGAACATACTATCAATCTGGCATGAAGATCCAATTCTTCGTTCACTGCCAAGGCAATATGTTTCGTGCTAAAGACTGTCTCCTCTAGCTTGTCAAGGCCCTGATCTTGCTCTACAAATAGTACATAAGCTCTATTAGAGTGTAAATCATAGACCTCAACCCTCGACATAACTTCAGGACCTTGGTGAATGACTAGGGATTTATAGCGTATTCTTATTCTTTTCATTCAAATCCGGGTAGAGAATCGTTGATGGTATCAAAGCAACCCATCTGATTAAAAACTAGGGTAAATTACACGAAACCCCTCATCTATATTCAATTTTTTAGGAAACCACCACATCTATAAATTAAATATTATAAAATAAAAAACATTTGCCTTGCTTTATAAGTCTAGTTAGTAACTTAGTATGCATGACAAAGAGGCTCAATCTGCAAGGGCATGTTAAGAGTACAAAATTGTAAACCTCAACCCTCATGACAAATTTCGAGTTATGGTGCAGCGGAAAGGACCTTTAACAAAATTTAAAAATGGAATCATATATGAAATATAAGCCAATTAATACCCAAAAAGAATAAGAATTACCTTTCATCATCTGCCGTTGTAATCCAACAATTCCATGGTTGTCCAAACCCGAAGTTCGGTCCTCAACCGATATTTTACTAGGCCCAAACAAATCTTCCCTAAATTTCACCAATGAAACCAATCCAGTTGTTAGTGATGCTTAACTAATTGAAACTGACAACAACACGAGGATTGTTATTTTAATACATAATTACTAAACCCGCATGCATACAGCAGACAATAAAGACACTATCAGCGACAACTAATTTCTGCATGAAAAAGCTACCTGTTAGCAAACTTGGACATGTTCAATGCAGACCATCAGCGACAACTAATTTCTGCATGAAAAAGCTACCTGTTAGCAAACTTGGACATGTTCAATGCAGACCCCATCTGCTTCGTTCTAGACTTCAGATTTGCAAGCATGTCTTGGCATTTCTGCAACTCTTTATCCCTGAATAACAAGCGTTTTAATGAGTCAACTGAAATTAAATTTAGGTTTGTACTTGTTACTCCTATGAAACAAACAATTTTTTTTAAAAACACAGCGACCAGGTTCATCATTCTGTTGGAGGAATCTATTCAATTATGTCAACAAAGAAGGGTCTTACAGCGAGTTAAATGCTATAGCTAATGTCAAACACAGGAATAAGATTGATCAGGTGCCAAGTATGTCAAAAATATCAGCAGTAATGCAGCATACCCATGATATCCAGGAATAAGATTGATCAGGTGCCAAGTATGTCAAAAATATCAGCAGTAATGCAGCATACCCATGATATCAAAAATATCGGCAGTAATGCAACGCATCCATAAGGCATAAACAATTTGTTATGTAGTGGAATGATTACAGATGAACTCATATAGCTATCTTTGAAACTAACGTTTATCAGGGTAAGAAATGTGCAACCCATTCAGCCATGAAATATCAGAATAATCAGGTAGAGGATAAGCAACGCTAGCTAAGTCATTAATCCTGTATCTCAGTTTTAAGGCGATAGCCTCGACGAGTTCTTTAGGACCTCCCTCTTTTTATCTGACAACACTAAAAGCATTTATGTTCATTAAACTTGGGTTGGGCCTATGTGCAATCATCTGCCTGATGCACATTCTACTGATGAAACTTAACCCAAATCCAATCAAACCCAATCCATTCAATAGCTAGGATTGGGTTAGAGATTTAATCAGATTGCACTTGGCATGAAAAGAACCCAACATAACTAGCACTGGATTGGGTTAAGATTGCCACCATATCCCACCCCAACCAGGTAAAGGAACCCAGCCCACCTAGAGCAACCCATAGTTAACAGTTCTTGATGTATTTTTTTTTTAATCTTTGTTTGACCATAAGAAGAATGTTAATTACTCCTCATGACTATAATTCATGATCTCCTCTCAGATTGTAGAATTAAGTGTTTTATCCTGAGCTTTGATATGTGTGACGTTATCTATAGAATTGTATTTCTATTTTATTTTTAAATGACAAGTGGTTGTTTTCATTTAATTCGACCGAAACCCGTCCAACCTGAACTGAATTAATCCTTTTCTTTTAGGGTGTGTGAGCACAATTAGACCCCGCATGAACTAATCCTTTCAGGTTAGTACGGTTATTTTCTAATACAAGGATGACTTGCATTGAACTAGTATTAGGATTTCCACAGCTTCATTCGGATAGAGTTGACCTTCAATTCAATCTCCTCTGCACCCCTAATTTACAGAAAATGAATACAGCATATAAACAGTAAAATAGCGACATAGTAAAAACAAATTCCAACAACACACTGATAAGTGATAAATTGCAAATAATATCAAAGCCTATCCGGTTGTCAATCAATAATTTTTCTCATCTTTGTATAGATCAGACCATAGAACTAAACCTACAAGCTGAAAACCTAACTGCTAATATAGAAGTTAGGAAAACGAAAAAACAGAGATTTATCAGTTAGGTCCACCAGATAAGTTGAGTAAACATAAGGCCTCATCAATTGGGTCCACCAGACAAATCACTTGGACCATAGCATAGCACCAAATCCAATAGTACCATTTCCGCATTACTGAGAAGATCAACCAGTCCAACCTAAAAAGAACATCAAGATGGACAACCAGCCATGAGATAAAATTGTCAACTAATGTCCAAGAATTTTCACCAAGAACACTCAATTCAAATTTCTAATACAACTGGTTTCTATAAGAAGCAATTGATCTCAGTATCAAACCTTTCATCAGCAAGTCAGTCTAATACACACATAAGTCGTAAATTGTTAGAAATGACCCAATTGGATATGTTTATAAGGTCAATATTTACTTGAAACTCTAGGGTCCTGTCATCTATCAGCATCTTTTTAATGTTTTAATAACCTATCAGATGAAACATGCAGGTTACAATATGTGTACTTAGTGTAACTAAAGGTTACATATTAAGACATTGGATCTCTCCGAGTAGAAAACATGAAGTACCATACTTTGGCTGTTTTCTTGGAACCTTTGACAAAAGGGACTCCAAACTGTCTAGTTTTGTACCAAGAATTGTTATCTTCCTCCTAATTGCAGATGTGTGCCTTTGAGCGTCTGGTCCTGATGAGGGCAGTGAACCCCTTTAGACCCGATATAGCTTATGCTGTAGGGAGACTGAGTCGGTATACTAGCAACCCTAGCAAAGATCATTGGTCTCCCTTAGAAAGAGTATTCAAATATCTGAAAGACACAATTGACTATTGCTTGACTTACACTGGTTACCCTGAATCATCAGCGAGCTTAGAAGCTTCATTGAACTCCCTCAACCATGAATCCATAGATAATGCCATCACTGGCAAAGCATGTACAAACATTATTTTCACAAATTTAATCATTAAAACCTGAATAATCGCATCTTTGCAATGGAGACAAACTAAAGCACATAAATTAAATGCGATCACTTATATAAAAACTCATAACTGAAATGACATAATAGACTTCAACAAGAAGAAAAAGAAGGATCACTAGGAAGAAAAATCATATGCAGATTCCTGTTGTCATTGATGTGTTGGCAATTCTACAAAACGGCACAAAAGATTATTAAGTAGACAACACAAAATAAAATTTTTTATCCCAGTTAAACTTAGTTTGTTTCAGTTCTAATATACTATTTCACCTATTCATACTTTTAAAGGGAAGCACAGCGAGCAAAATAATTGTACTGCATCTTTCCTACATAAATTAATAGGTTCTTTTGTTTAATATACCTAACAAGTTCTCTCTTGTGGTAAGTACCATCATTCAAGAATATCGCACGGAATAAAACTATTGCAGTCTTGATATGAAACTGCCATGAATGCCACTATATGTTAGAAGGATGTATCCAATACATTAAAAGTCATGAAAAAGCACCATAATAAGAGAACAACAAATTGGTGTTTAGTGTTCATTGAGTTAAAACCAAACTCACATAAAGTACCTACGAGGAAACAGGGAACGTGTTCGCTAGATCTAGTATAGTGTCCCGTGCTCCTCTCCTCCAGTCAACGTGCAATTATCAGTTATCTCATACAATAATTGTTCCACTGATATCACTCCCTTACCTATTCTTGTCTACTACACAATAATCAACTTACATTTATTCAAACGTATTGGTACATTTCCCATGTCCACATTAACTTATGGGATCAAAATATCAGGGATCAAGAAAAATTCCTCAAGGACCCAAAATATGGGACCAATAGAGGGGACAAGTGAGGTGTCCCCCTCCTATTGGATAATGAGTTGAGCATCATTAATGATGGTCAACTCATTATCCAATAGGAGGGGGGCATCTCACTTGTCCCCCTATTGGTCCCATATTTTGGGTACCTGTAGCAAAGCTCTAGGGATCAAACAGAACAATTTTCATTTTCTTAAATATACCTTATTCCCCATAAAGCTAACACTAGAAATATTTAATCACCACAACTGAAAAATCAGTGTCCTATAAATTGTTATCCACTCTATATCCAGTCATCAGTCCATTAATACCTAAATACAAACATAATTTGTTCATCCAAATTCAAAATTTACACTTTTGGCAATTTAGAAGGAATTGCAAAAATTATGGGCTAAAGCTATCAAGGGACTCGTTCATATTGCCCTTGGGGAGCTTAAATCAGGTTTGGTATACAGATTTATCTTTTGTAAATTTCCTTTTATTAAATTAAACTAGTATGTTGCACATGCTTTGAACTAGAGCATACATGTTTTGTTTTATGTTTTTCAAATTTTTTTGTTGGGTAGAAAATAATGTAATAACTTGTATAGTAACATAAAATCTTAACAATTACACTTCTATTTAATGAATAAATTGTATGATAAAACTGTGTATAAAGAACTGTATGATTAATTATTATCTTTTTTGATAATTGCCATAATCTATTTATAATTTATTAAAATAATTATAATATATTAAATAATTTATTCTCTTTAAAATATAATAATATTATACATAGCATAATTATAATACTATTAGTAACTACATTTTAATTTCACGATTAGTTTATTACACCATTGGTAAACAATTTACAAACTTGTATAAATTATTAAATTACAATGTAATTTATTAATTTAAAAAATACTATTAAAATCATTATACTATTAATACTATTACAAGTACAACAAATACAAATTATGTTTCATGCTATTATCATACACATTATTTTTCATACTATTATCATACTTTTGAAAGGCTAATAAGATGAAAGGTAACATGTAGTCCTCCATAAGAGGTGAAATTCAAAGGCATAAGCCATAAGCGTAATAAAAATTTTATTTTTTATTTTTCTAGAATTTTAAATATTCTGTGAAGAAAAATTAAGGATAAATTTTAAATTTTCTATTAAATAACATAATTAAATAAGAAAATAATAGTGAGACCAAATGTTTTGAAAAAGTAAGGGAATGCATAATTAATAAATAGATTTTGTATAATTAGTGAATGATTAATTACAACTAATGACATGTTTAAGAATTATCTAAATTAAAAGGGTAAAAATGAAAATCAAAAGTTTCCACAAAGGCAATCCTCTTTTATATATAGTATAGATATAGATATAGATAGTTTGATACATTATACTGAAAAGGAGGAATAAGATGGACATGTTCATAATTGGGTTTTGGTCCTATTGGATAATAGAATCCTAACCTTTCAAACCCAACCCGATATCCGCAAACAAAAAGAACTACTTAATAGATGGCTTAATTGTCTATTAGTCCCTTGTATCATGTCTAACTGACATAGTCCCTCAAATCTCATTACTTGCTTCTTAATCCCTTAAATCTTTAGTTTTCTTGCAATATGATCCTTCTGTTAGAAAAATTGTTAACTTTTCTAATTCTAGTTGAGTTAATGCTTAACCTAACAACTCAAGTTACCTTATTACCCATGGGGTATACATTGTCAGAATAAGTTTAAGTTTTGGGTTTAGAGGGAAGCTAGCCATGAAAATTATCTTGATTTTGGGTTTAAGGGAAGCATGGGACCACTGGCGAAGAAAGAAGGTGGATTTAGATTGATATTAGTGTGGGTATAATGGCTATTTTACTTAATTCTGTCACATTTAACGGTCTTTAATAATACCACCTAACACGAGGGATGGATTGGCAAGAAACTTGACGATTTAAGGGAATAATAAGCAAATAATGAGATATGAGGGACTATTTGGCAATTAAAGATGATTTAAAGGACCAATAGGCAATTAACCCTTAATAGATTGATCCTTAGATTCATCTTCCGTCATCCCATCATTCAGGCAAGCCCTAAAAGTCCCCAAATTCCTCCTCCCATCGCTCCTCTCTGCCTCCTTCCCCTCTCTCAACGCCGATCAGCCAGCCCCTATGTCGTTAAGAGCTTTCTCGAGTCTTAACCGTTGAAGACTCTGAAATCTCGGTCCTCGAGTACTCTCTCAAAGCTCGACCTTTGAAACAGGTACATATATTTCTTTTGTGAATACTTTTGGTTAATTTAAAAAAAAAAGCCAAAGCATTCTTTTTTCACCTCAAGGCTGATCAAAGCTCTCAAATTTCGTCAACCGGTTCATTTTATACTCAAAATTCCTTTAAAATTCTAACATTGGATCAGTTATAGCCATTTTAGTGCTAAATAGTAATCGATAATCAATAGCACACAAGTATCCCACATTATTCGTAATCGAGCTAGCTCTTCAAGATAACCAAAGACCCAGCTCGGACGACTCGACACGCCGACAACTTGCGAGGGCGAGTCAAAAGGCGTTACATGTCAACCCCAAACTAGGTCGACTTCTTGATCAACCTACTCGACCGATCATTCGGTCAACATCTCGCAAAGGCGACTCAAAAAGACGGTACTTCTCGACTTTCTACCGATCGAGTAGAAAGACGACGACTACCTCGAGCCGCGAGCCCTCTCATGCGCACTGACAGCTGATCACTTCAGAATAAATGTCATTAAATGCATAATCGACGTCATCATTTCTCTATCCTTAATAGTCTTTATGACATATCGGACCACGTCAGTACCGCACACCTCCCATCACTTCACATTAAACGTAAAAGTGACTTTCCCTCCACTCGTCAGCCGACGCCTATAAGGCAAATGTTGACTTCGCCGCCAGCCCATACTCAGACGAAGTTACCATCCTACCCCTCTACTACCACTATAAATAAGGGTACTATTTTCAACCTTAGGGTATCATAAAAATTGCTAAAACCTTTACTTCCTTTATAATAATAATTACTTGTAATATCAAGCTATACAATCGCATAATACTTGCTCAATACATACTGCTCGTTGAAATCATCAGACCCTAAACCAACTAAACCTAGCATATGAAGATTCCGAACAAACTCATAATCTGCATAATAAATGTAGAGCTAATAAGAGCCAAGTCGAAATTTCATTAGGGTAGTATTGCAACTTAAATCATGTAGATACCACTTATATCAAAGATTGAAAGGAAATAAAAAGGATGATAAATAATCTACAAACGAAGAAGAAGAAGAACAAATCTAAAGGGTTAAAGATAAACATAAATATATTCCTTCTCGAAATCTAATCCGATTTAAATAATTTCTTTATATGATTGCAAAAAAAACGAGAGAAATAAATGATGCTTACCATGATCGAGGGATGGGAGAAAGGAGCCGCTGCTTCTCTCCCTCGCCACGGAAAGATAAAGATCACACGAGAGCTCAAAGATTCGATTTTTTTTTCAGGTCTAGGGCTTTAAGCAAAATCCCAATTCTTCCCATCATATTGGATCGCATGTCCATGTAAGCCCACTTGTAAGCAGCCTCTAGTAAGTGGACCCTCAAGGTCCGTTTAACTCACGTGATTACGCTTAAATTTTTACTAAGGAGGGGTTAGTCACCTAGAACTTAAAATTAGAACTGGGATAATCAGTGGGATAAAATTTTAAGGTGTTAGTCACATAGAACTAAATCTAGAACAAAATTTTAAGGTGTTAGTCACATAGAACTAAAACTAGAATAAAATTTTACAGTGTTAGTCAAGCAGAACTTTAACAAAACTAGAATTGGGATAATTGTACAAAATTATCCCACTTTTTTTATTTTTCTATACAAAAATGAGAGTTCTAGTCTCTCTAATTATTC